TGTTAGATATACTCGTAGCATAGTAATGTGGTTGAGTATGGGACATGGATCTACGGAGATTGCAGTTGGTAGATCGCGGAGGAACAGGGAGTTTCTGCTTGGTTTCTTCGGAGATTCGATGAGTGATCTGAATTGCGTGACGGATAGGTGTGGTGACGCACTCTTCGGCTGCTCGGCCTCGAGTGGGTCTCTGCCCTTCCCTATTCCCTCTAATACAAGACTTTCCCATCTCGGCCCTCACTGGCCGAGCTGCCTTTCTCCACAAACCTACAAGCTTCGGCCTACCCGGTTTATCCAACACTCAAGCTCTTTGTGATTTCTTGAAAATGAGGTACAGTGGGGGGCCCTCAATAACGCTGGTTGAATAACGCCGGTGGCCCTCAATAGCGCCACACCGGCATTATTGAGGGCGGCCCGCAATAACGCCGGTTTGTGCACCTCTACACCCCGCAATAGCGCCGGTTTCTTGTTTTTACACCCACACAAACCACACACCACGCACCTGCCCTGAGGAGGTTACACACCAGTAGGGGTACACACGTGCACCTACAGACCCTACAGCTCCACGTAGAGGCGCACCATGCCGGTTGAATTGCTTCAGCAAGGCAAGACGCCGCAAGCTCCTAATTGCCACGGTTGCAAGGGAGGATGTGGCGGCCGGCTCCACGGCGATTGCGGCAGCATGTTTGACGACATCGAGCAGAACCGCAACTGCAGAGCAGGCGTACATAAGAACGGCAAGCGCAAAGCTCCAGCTCCACCGGAGGGTGTTGGGGCTCGAAAATCCAAGTCCCAGAGGACGAGAAAGAAAACAGCGGGGGCGGGCGCCACTCGAAAGTTCTTGATCTTCGACGAGAAGCTCAAGGTCCTGGATATGCTAGAGAGGAAGGTATCGCACGAGCATAGCGGACTCCTCCGGCTGCTCGGAATGGACGGTTCGTCAAATCGAAGCTGACCAGGCGAGGAATATGGAGAAGGTACCCACAGCAGGCGCAGGCGGCAAGAAATGCTCTCGGCAAGGAGGCTTTCCAGAGGTGAGACCCACACCGCTGGAACCAATCCGATTGGTTTTCTTGTTTTTCAGGCGTGGATTCAAGCCCTGCCTGTTCGTGATTTTTGTTCATGAACATTTTTTCTCGTTGTTTCCTACCATGTCCATTTATTTAATTATCCTCACACGACACAACAAGTCCATCTCCTCCACAGATGAGAGTCTGGGATAGAAAAGTAGCAATGAAGCCATAGCGTCAGCGGAAGCTACCTCTCAATTTACATATTTTTCCACGACGATTAAGTATACTGACGTCTTGCATGAAGCACGCCTTCGGTTGTTTTACTTATTTACCAATGATGACTTGACAAAAAACAGCAAAAGTACTTCGCAGAAACAGGGCTGTATACGCGGTCGAGCCGGTTGCACTCTACTTGTACACGTCAAAATTGCCGTCGCGCTCTCCCGCACCCTCTCTCTCATTCTCGCTGCATCGTCACCACAGGGTGGCCAAGATTNCAAGTCCATCTCCTCCACAGATGAGAGTCTGGGATAGAAAAGTAGCAATGAAGCCATAGCGTCAGCGGAAGCTACCTCTCAATTTACATATTTTTCCACGACGATTAAGTATACTGACGTCTTGCATGAAGCACGCCTTCGGTTGTTTTACTTATTTACCAATGATGACTTGACAAAAAACAGCAAAAGTACTTCGCAGAAACAGGGCTGTATACGCGGTCGAGCCGGTTGCACTCTACTTGTACACGTCAAAATTGCCGTCGCGCTCTCCCGCACCCTCTCTCTCATTCTCGCTGCATCGTCACCACAGGGTGGCCAAGATTTCCGTCACGCGCGACGTCATCCGAAGCTTCGGACGCTCCGCGAAGACCACCCGGCTGGGAACAGCAACAACTTCTGCAGCAGTCCGGAAGAAGCTGGAGGAGTTCAAGGCCGGCGATCGATGGGCCAAGGACTGCGTGAAGCGCAACGGACTCCACAGCCAAAGACTTCATGGCGAGGCAGGCAGCGTCGACACCGAGCTCATCTAGAAGGACATCGAAGCAATCAAGGCCCTCTGCGCAAAGTCAGAGGAAGTCACTGCACGGCTAGCTGGGACCCACTTGGATGACGATTCGGAGGAAGAAGAGAAGGGGGAAGATGACAAGGACGTGAGCACGGAGCGCGTTAGGGGCCCCCCACTGGCCTATGCTGAATTGTCGTCTCACTTCGGCGTCCTGGAGCGGGCTGCGGTGGAGTGTGGGAACGCAGACGCTGCATTTTACCTGTCTGTCGCCAGGATGTCGATGATCGCAGCGCATGCTGCTACGCAAACGCGGTAGACAGACTTGAGGGAATTTGTTGCGACGGAAGATATCGAAGCGGAATGAGGAGGGGAGATAACGCGGGGGTGTAGTCAAAGCCGTTATCTTTTGTTATTTCGCTTCTGGCGTTTGATCCGTCCTGTCTTTACCCGGCTAGCTGTTTTTTTGTCTGATTATCTGCATGTGGCGAGACATGAATGAAGGGCGAAAGAGTGCTGTTGCACGTTTCTCGTCCACATCTATTTTACTTTGCTGTTGTTCATGTTTTGTAGCTACGCAACGGTTACCATTCCATGGTGCATTGGGTACAGCTGTGTCGTCGTTTCGCTGTGGCGAAGTCCTCTCTGTAGCAGCAACTATTCCGGGTGCACAGCGCCTATTTATGAGGCAGGAGGATCAGCATGCTGCCGCACTTCTAGATGATCAGTTAATCAACACAACAACTCTAGGCGGCCCAGGACCATAATTTATCCTTTGCAGTCCGCCCACTTCACCACTCAATCGTTTCCTATGTAATTTATGAATATGTTGGCTCCGTAAAGCGCAATCGCTGTATGGTCATAATCCCTCAATGGCGCCACAACCGGCGGTATTGAGGGTTTCTGAGTCCTCAATAGCGCCGGTTGTGGCGCTATTGAGGCACAATTGCAATAGCGCTGGTCGCTCTGAATAGCGCCGGTCGAGGCGCTGGGCACATACCGGCGTGATTGAGGGCCCTCCACTGTAGAGAGGTTTGTGTCCTATAAGGCGTGCAAATGTTGGGAGGATATGAATTGTGCTGCAGACCTGGCGAGGCACCGCCAAGGAGATCAATCTATTGCGTAGAAGTTTGACGTTCGAGGAAAAAAAAGTTGGAGCAATAATCACCATCACGGAGCACCGAGATAACAGGGATTGCGTTTCAAGGCATTCCCTTGAAGACCTATACGACCGGCCTTCTTTTCCGCATGTTTTTTTTATCGACGATTGGGTGGCCCACACACGATATCCTTGGTCTTAGAATCGCCCAATTTAGGCAGTGGAGCGAACCAACAATAAGCGTGAAGTTATTCTTTGATCTCAACAGCAAACTTATGCGAACTACATCGGCCGTGAACGTGTCCCACCACAGCGCTGCTTGCGACGACGTCGACAACTATCTCGGCATCCCGAATCCGCTGACTGGCGACATGGAGATCGACCTCGAGGGTGTAAGCAGTGTCGAGTGTGCAGAGATCGAGACTGACGCTGGCAACGAAATTCTGCTGGAACAGATCGTCATTGATGGGGGAAGCGTCACCTTGAAGAGCTCCAGCTACGTCCGGTACGGGGTATTCTGAGCGGCTATGGACATGAAGACTAGCGGTAATGGACAAGAAGTTGTGTCGGCGTTTTCCCTCTTGAAGCCCCGATGGGTTGATGATTTCGGCACAAATGTATCCCTCGATTGTGTATCCAAGTGGAAGGAGAAAATGAATGCTGCTCCCTCGTGGTTTTCCTTGCTGCATCCGTGTCACAACGCTCAAGAAAACCCGACGTCGTTGACGACGCGTTGGCGTACGAGGGTGGCCTATTTTTTTCCCGCCAAATTTTCTTGGCGTTAAATTCACACAACACGTTCGTTAGCAGGCTATGAGGAGTGTACCGTCTGTATCGAAGCGGCGCTTCGCCCTGGTCCCTTTTTGAACAATATTTTTGTTGTGAGCGGTGATGCTAACACATCAGTTACGGCGCGGGAGCTTCCACGCGGTAAATTATTGATGCGAGATGGCATTGGTGCGAAAACATCACTCTGAATCGCAAGCACTCGCAACATGGTCAGATTTTCTGTGCCGTGTCGTAACCCGAGCCTCGGTTTTGGGCAAGTTCCACTCGTACTCAAATGGCACTGCTCCATTCGTGTTCCCGTCGGCGAGCTGTACAGATTCGTCAACATAGAGTTCGACGTCAAGCCTGGAGCCACCCTGGTGTTCGACATGCCTGAGACGTACTTCGGGCCCAACACGGCGGTGAGAACCAAACCCACACTACCTTACGTACAGCAGCACAAACAAACAAAATATTATTATGTTCGTCTCTATCAATAGAAAAATAAATCGGTAGTGGATTCATGGCGTTGGCAGAGTACTACCTGCTATTTCTACGATTCCCCAAGTAGCATTCAGCGATATCCTCCCCCTTCGTTTTGGTTTTCATCCTCGAAAGAGAATCGTAGTACGTATGCCGAGCCAAACATTTTCGTTTTCTCCTTGTCGAGATAGCCGGGTTCGGCTCGCTCTTGTCGGGTATGTCGGCGGTTGAGGAGCTTGCGGTTCCCACATCGGACGTACGCGGCCAAGTTAGGTGGTGTGATTCGTTTTCTATGCCTTTTTTCCGGAAGGGGAGACCAGTGATGGGAACTCTCGAACGAGTGCAAACGACCTCCTCCCGACAAGCGAAAGACCAATGTGGCACTTAGCCGTGTCCGCATTCGTCCAACGGACTCGCCGGCACACTGCTGTCCTGCACTCGTGGCCATGGTGGCAGTCGCCATGTTCTTCGCAGCAATCGCTCAATCCTTTCGTGGTTGGCCTGCTTTCTTTTGTTTTGTTTTGTATTGGTTTGAGAATGCGGTCTGGTGCGTACTTATCTCATCGGCGTCGAACGAGAAAATCGGGTCCACCAAAGACAATTCGTCACGGCGATAAAACGCCAACTTTGCTCCCCCGCGCACAGGCTAGTTGGACATCGGGGCCGCGGAGGAGGTAAAATGACAAACGTTGCCCTCCGGATTCGGAGTAGACTGTATACAGATTTTCTATTCTCTCTTTTTCTTTCGTTGAGGTTCGCTGGGCTCTTCGAGTCAAAAACACGTCAGCTGTGTGAGCTGTTCGAGCTTGGGAAACGGCAGCTGTCGGTTGACTCACACCAAGAACGACAGGCTTTACTTTCATCATCCGTCACGCCTTGAATGACACTACTACTACTACCCTCTGACGAGCCCACTCCGGGGGCGCGCCTTGTACTTTGAGGATATGTCGGTGTTTACTTCTTTCTGCACCCAGTGCACGAAACTGGACGACCATAACGGAAAGACGCCAATCGTCGTGGGGCGTCATGGGTAGGCTTGTTTATAGTCTGTGAGCTTCCCGAGTATGAGGGCGAAAGTTGCCACTACAACTTTGCATCCTCCCCGTGTATGTGTGGGTGTCAAAATGTTGCATAGCACTCGCGGTAGTCGAGAGCAGCGAGCAAGAAGATTGCCCACCAAAGGGTTTAGATTTCCTGTCACCATGATGTCTGCGCGCGTGCGTGTGCCGCAGCGCAAGGAGGGTACGTGGTACTACAACAGCTTCGGCATGAACGTCGACGAAGGAGCGACCGTAACCTTTGTGGGGGGCGTTGTGGCCAGCGATGTCTCCAACGCCTTCACCGCGTTCTACAACAGGGGGTCCATGGAGTGAGTGCACCACCAAGTGGTGCGAAGAGCTTGTTGCCGTCGATGACTCGTGTGCGGGTGTTGCCTAGCAGTTGGGATCCTCGATTTCGTCCAGCGCGATTCATAGTCGCACGTTTTTTCGACGGACAGCGGTGATGTGGTGAAGTTTTGATGCTAGTGTCAAGACCCCGTACCCTAGAAGAATTTGCAACATGCATGCCTGAGGCACGCATGCATTTCATACAGTTCATTGTTGGTTGGAATCACTCGGTGGGTCTATGGCCTCGTTGACGGAAACCGTAACGAGATGCACCGGCACGCTGCTTCAGTCGTTGAGACATGCCAGAAGGGAGACGACAACGCCCTTTCGTTTGGACTGCTTAAATACTGAAGTCGTTGAGGTTTATACTATCGATTGGGGGAAGTTGACTCTCCTATCCTGGTGCCCCTCTCCATGCCGTTTGTTCTTGTCAGATTCCAAGAGACGGCTCTGTTCGAGGACGGCACGTACGTCTTCTACGAGAACCAAGGAACCATCAAGTGAGGCGCTATCAAAGGGGCGTCGGTCCGGTGGCCCCACCGGAGTCGGCGCTGCGGAGTTGTGTGTTTGGTGACGGTGCCGACGGACGTCAGTATGGAAGAGGAAATCGGATGTCGCCATCGATTGGTGCCAGGAAGTACATAACAGTTTCGCAACGTATTCTTTTGGCCCAGGCAACGGGCGGCTGGTTCTGGCTGTCGTTACCGTTGCATGAGCGGTGCTGAGCAAACTCAGTCGCGCATCCAAACCATTTTACGCCGGGCACCGTACATGTTGATTGTCGATATTCGGTCGGAAGACCTTGTATCCCTGATAGCAAGAGCCCTTATTTCCTTGACCGCGTAGCCCCATGGACGGGTATGGAGGGAACCCGCTCCTAGTGTGACGGTGACGATGGATGTTCCCTGTCAACAAGAGCATGGCCGGTTCTGACGCCCGTTCCACCTTGCCAAACCCTCGGGGATTTGCCCGCTGATGGCGCTCCGTCCGGCAGATTCCGTGGAGACGCCACCTTCCGGAACAACCGATTCCACGCCATACAGAACATTTTTTCGGGCTACATCAGGTAATACCACCCCTACAAGTCGATATGTATGTTGTTCTACAGGAAGGCCGGTCAGAACGTGAGCCCAGCTGGTTGCTTATCGGTAGCGTAGTTGGCTCGTGTATGATTCCGTGCCTTGCTGCGCCGTGCGGTGCCGTACCGTGCAGTGTCATGAGGTATCGCGTCGTGCCGTACAAATTGGGGCACTCGATCATCGCCCCGGGTATCTAGTCAGTGACACGATCACAGCAAAAATCTTTGTCGTAGCTCGTAATGGATGAGAGATTGCACTTCTGGGGTCCCCGGCCTTCACAACGAGGCACCGCTTTGCACATGACGAAGTTTTGTCAGATGAACCATTCTCCTCCCACGAAACGCACAGACACGTTCCAACTCGATTTGATCGGCGCAGACGATTGCTATGGTGGCACAGCAGCTCTGAAAATCTTTCACGGGGGGTGCGCACGCTTGTCGTGTATCCCAGTCTTCGTCATGTCCCTGCTGCTGCTGCCATGTGGACGCAAGTGTCAACGAGGTCGTGCACTGTTTTGGTGAAGTCGAGGATGCAATATCGGAGGCACCAGCGGGCGAACGATGCATACCCTGACCTGGTGTTCACTCTGTTGTGTTTTTCTTCTGTGAATATGGTGGTGCCTTTTTTGTTCCGGGTAGGTTCTCCAAGGACGTTCTCTTCGATGGGAACTCGTACGAGACTGACATCATCGGCACCTGCAGCCTCTCCTGCATCGACGAGGAATCCAGAATTGTGTGAGTATTGGATAGTACCATGAGTTTTGCTGGCGCCTTTCAATGCGGCGGCAGCATCCATCACCCCCCCCCGCCCGTCGCCCTCCTGATCGTTCCATTTTGTATGCAAAGCGCAACACGCTTGGTCACACCCGATCAATCATGAGTAGCAGGCCAGTAGCCCTGGGTACGCCAGCGCACTTTGGAAAGTATTTACATAAATATCACCGTAGCGATACTTCCATCCCTCATGTTTGCTACTAGCCAAATCGGCATGTTTCCCGGACCCCCGTTCATGGTTCGCCAGACAGGCATCCATCTGTACGCCGTTGTTTTCCCTCGTTAACGGCGAAACAAATCCCTGACTCGCTCTGTCCCCGTCGATTCTGTGACGCGACGCTGTTTTTTCCTGTCCAGCGTGCGAGGGGATGCGGTCTTTCAGAACCACAACTGCCCTGGAGTGGCGCTCTGGCAACTCTACGGTACCACAAAGTGAGTTTCTATCTATTCTCGCGTGATCCAGTGTTGGGAGAGGGCGGCATGCGAGATCCTTCCGTCCCCTAAGAAGTACGTGGAGGCCACGTTGTCGCGCGGCATCATTCCGGGTGTTGCTTGCGGGATTCGGGCGAGTTTTCGCCCCGACGTACGCGCAAGCAACAGTCCGGGGACCAAACCCGCCGATCACCCAAAGGGTTGGAGGTGTCTCTAAGTTCGTCATCGCGGTTCGGCCGCAATCTTGAAATTAGATCGTGCATCCTGTAGAAAGGCACGCGGAAGAGCGCGGTCCTGGACTCTGGCCTTGCATTGGGCTGCTGTGTAGTTTGTGTGGAACATTATCGGTTTTCGCGGGTCATGGCATGTGCTGGCCGACAGCAGCCTATTGGTCGGGGTTCCGGCGTGCTGCCGAAGATGACGCTGTACCGTCGTCAAACACGCATAAGCTCGTCGCCTGTATCGGCATGGAAGCCACAGCATGATATTTGCGGGAACGTCGACCGTGTACCTTGACGGAGTGCGAAGGCCGCGGACAACGGGCGCAAGTCCTGCCGCTAACTATGGGCGCGTTCTTTGGCAGACGTCACTCAATCGTCTTTGGGCTTGCCGAGCGTGCTCTACGTTACGTCGCGTTGCTGATGATGTGCATTTCCCCCAGGTTCTACGGGAAGGCGTACTTCAACAACAACTCCCGCGATAAAACCACATTCGACTACAACTTGGACGGGAACCTCGGGGGCGCGGTCGTTGTGTCTGGCGGCACGATGACGTGAGTCGTTTATGATGTATTTCTGCATTTTTGCTCAGCTCCGTAGTGGTCACGGTGGGGGTTAAAACCCTCCCAAACGCCTCTGGCCCACGAGTGTTTCCTGAGAGCTGGGAACCGCCCGTTTTGGGTGGTTTCTTATGCCAGAGTTTCCATTACAGCTTTCAAGCGTAGGGGCCAAATTTTCCATTTTTGCCTAGGCTTCTTTAGGCACGTGGTTTGCCCCTTTTCTGTGACTGGGAGGTGACCGTTCAGCCTCTAGAATTCGATGTCGAGGAGCACCGAATTCGTGAAGCGTTTGTCTTTCCCCGTTGACCTTCTTCGTTGTGGCGTTGTGACGTTTCCGCTCGCTTTCCTTAGCTTCAACGGGGCCGTGCAGTTCAACGACAACTCCGCTGAGGCGTTCGGTGGTGGACTCGGCATCGAAGACGGCGACGTAATGTGAGCAAAACAATCACTGAAATTTTCCACACCTAATGTCCTGCGAGATTTTGGTACACGATGACCCGGTCTTGTTGTGAACACCCTTGCGCCGTCACATATATGTCGTTGAGGCGGTGTTGCCTCGCGGGATGCAGACGGTGAGGAAGCATGTTGAATAACCACAACTTGAACAGTCGCGCTGAGACTCAGAAAGGTGCCGTGTATCCGCGGCCGACTTCGGATAGAAGACCAACCGTACATTGTATTACCCAAGTAGGAAAGGGACTGCTGAATGCGCTGCGAGAAGCCCTCACCAAGCCTTTAATACGCTCCCCGTGACCCTATTCTTAGCTTCAAGAAATGGACCACCTTCGACGGCAACTCTGCCGATAATGGAGCCGCCTTCGCTATGACAGGGGGGACGCTCACGTTCCAGGAACCGAAAGTTGTGACTCGGTTCACCAACAACGACGTCTATGAAAACGAGTACCCGGTGGGTACAAATGATCCTGATCAGTGGCATTGCCTTTCGGAGGGCGGTCGATCAACGCTTGGCCTTGCCTATTCACAGTAGTATTTCTGTGTAGGACGATGCCAGCCGACCAGTCGACGGCAGGGCTCGCGTGCTGGCTTCAGAAACCAATGATGGTCGTTCCGTCGTTCTAAGCGATGAACCTCCCCGTCCCTGATCGGCTAATGTCGTTCATGTTTCTTGCACAGTAGACGATTCAAACAACTTTCTTCTAATGTGATTGTCAACCGGCCGGTAGTGGATACTCGGCCACAGCCGTTGGGGTAGACTGTTGCCGTCTGAACAGCAATATTTTCTGACGAACATTGAGTGCGTTCTGCAGAAGGGCATCGGCTTTGGCCTCTTATCCGATTTCCTCACTCTCCGTCTTGCCATGGGTCGCTCTTGATCTCTTGCGCCGTTTCTTGGCTTCTCGTGTTTTCCACAGGTCGAAGAAAGCTGCACGGTGGGGTTTGTGGCCGATGAAGCCCTCGTGATCGGCTTTCCCGGTGACGACATCTGCGTCGCAGGCGGTTCCAGCCGCAAGCTGCTGTAGGAAGGCACAATTTTTTGGCAGCAACCACGGGAAGTCGTCGGCATCATTCTTACCAATGTCGACTACGATCTGCATTTCGTGTTTTTCCAAGCCGAAACGTGATCACCTGCTTCGGTAGTGTGACTAAGCGAACGAAAAGGATCTGGCAACCTTCGTAAGCACGATCCAAGCCCCGGATCTTGTCCAAGATATTTTGGGGTGAAGACGTTGACAGAACGGTGTCCTGAACCCTGGCTGTACGTTAGGCTGTACCGCGATGTGATTGGTGTATGCATACGTCATCGACATGTGCCCGGGAGATACGAAGCCCGACGGAGGCAAAAGCGTTGGATGAGAACCACATGCACAGTATGTGCATTTTGCTGAAGCTCATGGAACAAAAAGCCCATTTCAGAGCCTTGCGAAAGCTACCGAGAGGCCAGAGCGGGTTGCCGGCAGAAATCTTCTCGAGCACAACGTCCTACATGCTATCGTTCCGGGCTCATTTGCAAGGCAGGATTTGTCGTGGAAGAACAATTTTTTGTTGTATCTGGTCGATGGAAGCTAGGGCCGACTCGTACGAACGTAGTTTTGGCAGAGGCTGGGTTTCTCTGCGAGGGTTCCGCCACAAGTGGCCGCTAGATATTGTTTTTTTGTTGTAGACGTTCTCAACCAGGCTCATATGTGGTGCTCAACTTCTTCGATACGACTGGTGTGGTATGTGTGTTTCCGGGCTTGCTTTCAGGTTGTCAACTGCCAACTTTGTAATGCGGGCACTAACTGTTGTATGGTTGGAGACTGTGCATAGCTCACGTCAGTTCGTAATAGGTTGCAGGGGGTCGTTGGTAGTCCTTGACGGCAGTCTCAGGGCCATTTCGAATGTGTTCCGGATCGACAAAGTACAACGAGATCAAAATTGAAAGAAAGGAAGAACAAGCCCAAGGGGCATTCAGCCTAAACGGGGAAAAACAGGCTACGATTTCTCTAGAAATAGAGGAAGGAGTGCATCGAGCCGCCATCAATAAACAGCCTTGTGCGCGTCCTCCTGCCTCTCTACTGTCTACTAGAGTATGTACCACAACTGAACGCTATGACGAGGAAGTAAGGAAAACGTCGTAACAGGCGGTTACCCAGGACATTTCGGCGGCTAGCTCGTCAGTTCAAAAGCTCTTTGGCACTCTACGGGCACACGGCCCACGGGTGAGCCTGCTTCTCGCACATGAAAGAATTGACCAAATAGGGCACATATCTCGCTTCCGACTGTATTCCACTGTTGGTTTGCGACATGTACGGTACCCGAATGTTGGGAAAAGCGGCCGTCTTGGGTCTCTCCCAACGAGCCATGTTTCGTTTCACTGGATCCAGTCGGAAATTACGACCATCGTTCTGTGTATCTAGTCCGCACCCTACAAAGAGGGGTAGGAAGCGAGAGTTCGACACCACACCCAGGTATGAACGCGGGGGGAGGGGGCGGGAGACATGCTCTACGCGCTGGAGTGAATGTGCTCGATGTCTCCGAAATGATGAGAAAAGTGAAACGACTTCCATCAATGGAGAACGGTCGAAACATGGATATGGATTTTTAACCCCCCCTACATCCCCCCCCCACCCCCGGTGTTTACCATCGGGGTTGGGTTTTCGTCGCTTGGCAACGACGTCGTAAAACAAGCCGCCCCCCCCCGGTGTTTGCCATCGGGAGTGGGTTTTCGTCGCGTGGCAAGGACGTTGTAAAACAAGCCAATTCACTTCGTGA